CGCGGGCGCGGTGGTGGACGTGCCAAACCCTGACGGGTGGAAATGGGTCTGCCACGACAACAAATGGATGCTGAAGCGGAAGGGCGGGTAGTCCTGTGCTCGGCGTAGCTTAGGGGGGGGAGGGGAATGGAGAGGGCGGGGGGAGAGTGGGAGGGGGGGCTGGAGGGAGGGGAGGGAGGGGGGAGGGAGGGGGAGGGGGAGGGAGGGACGAGGACGAGGACTAGTATCCCACGGCAGGTTTGCCTTCATCTGTTCTCTGGATGCCTTGCAGCTGCCCGCGGGGGCAACCGCTCGCCGCCGTGGCGAACAAAAACCCGCTCTCGGATTGCATTGTTGCGCGCCGCCACCGCCAGCTCTATTCGGAGATGCCTCTCGGCACGCTCCGCCCCCTCGCGGCTGGTTGGCAGTTGGTTGGTGGCTTGGCTGGCTGGCTGGCTGGTTATTTGGCTGGTTGGCTGCTTGGTTGGCTAGCTGGCTGGTTGGCTGGTTGGTTGCCTGCCTAGCTGGTTGGTTGGTTTGTTGGTTGGCCTACAGGCGTGCGCCATCTCACATGCCGAAGGGCCCGCCCGCTCGCGGATCGCATTTTTGCGTACCATTACTACCACCACTACTGCGACTACGACCGCGACCACGACTACGACTACGACTACAACTACGGTTGCTGCTGCTACTACTACTACTACTACCACTACTACTACTACTACTACTACTACTACTACTACTACTACTACTACTACTACTACTACTCCCACTACTACTACCACCACCACCACTTACTACTACTACTACTACTACTACTACTACTACTACTACTACTACTACTACTACTACTACTACTACTACTACTACTACTACTACTACTACTACTACTACTACTACTACTACTACTACTACTACTACTACTACTACTACTACTACTACTACTACTACTACTACTACTACTACTACTACTACTACTACTACTACTACTACTACTACTACTACTACTACTACTACTACTACTACTACTACTACTATACTACTAGTACTACTACGACTACTACTACCACTACTACTACTACTACTACTACTACTTACTACTTACTACTACACTACTACTACTACTACTACTACTACTACGACTACTACTACTACTACTACTACTACTACTACTACTACTACTACTTACTACTACTACTACTACTACTACTACTACTACTACTACTACTACTACTACTACTACTACTACTACTCTACTACTACTACTACTACTACTACTACTACTACGACCTCTACTACTACTACTACTCCTACTACTACTCCGAGTATTACTACTACTAGTACTACCACTTACCAGTATTACCACCACCACTACCACCACCAGTACTACTACTATTACTACTACAACTACTACTACTACTACTGCTACTACTACTACTACTACTACTACTACTACTACTAGTACTACCACTTCTACTACTACCACTACTACTACTACTACTATTATTACCGTTACTACTACTACCAATAACAATAGTATTGCAAATTCTACTACGGACTACTACTACTACTACTACTACTACTACTACTACGACTGCTACTACTACTACAACTACTACTACTACTCCGACTACTACCACTACTACCAATACTACGACCCGTACGACTATTACTGCTACTACTACCACTACTACTACTACTACTACTACTACTAGTACTACGGCTACTACTACTACTGCTACTACTACTACTTCCACGATTACGACTACGACACCGACGTCGACTACTAGTACTACTACTGCTACTACTGCGACTACTACTACTACTACTACTACTACTACTACTGCTACTGCTACTACTACTACTACTACGACTACTACTACGACGACGACTACTACTACTACTACTACTACCATTATTACGTCTCAGACTACTACAAGCACGCCTACGAGTACGACTATTTCTACTGCGGCTACTACCACCACTACTACTACTACTACTACTACTACTACTACTACTGCTACTACTGCTACTACTACTACTACTACCACTGCTTACTACCACTACTACCACTACTACCACTACTACTACTACTACTACTACTACCACTGTTGCTGCTAGTACTATTACTATTTATTTTACTACTACTACGAGTATTAGTACTACCAATACTGCTACTACTACTACTACTACTACTACTACTACTACTATTACTACGACGACGACTACTATTACGACTATTACTGCTACTACCTACTACTACTACTACTACTACTACTACTACTACCACTACTACTAGTACTACTACACCTACTACTACTACTACTACTACTACTACTACTACTACTACTACTACTACGACTACTATTACTATTGCAAGTACTACTACTACTACGACGAGTACGGCTACGATTACTACTACTACTACTACTACTATCTCTACGACTACTACTACTACCACTACCACTACTACTACTACTACTACTACTACTACTACTACTTTTACTACTACTACTACTACTACTACTACTACTACTACTACGACTACTACTACGACTACGACTATGACTACGACACCGTTTACGACTACTACTCCTAGTGCTACTACTACTACTACTACCACTACGGCTACCACTACTACCTAGACTATTACAACTACGACTACGACTACGACTACTTCTACTACGACTACTACTACCACAACTCTTACTACTACTACTACTACTACTACTACTACTACTACTAGGACTACTACTAATACTACTATTACTACTACTACTACTACTACTACTACTACTACTACTACTAGTATTTGCCTTACTGATACTACCACCACTACTTCCACTGTTACGACTACTACTACTACTACTACTACTGCTGCTACTACAATTGCTACTTGTTTCATTTTTCACTACTACTACGACTATTACTACTACCACTACTGCTACTACGACCGCTACTACTACTACTACTACTACTACTACTACTACTACGACTACTACTACTACTACTACTACTTTTACTTTTACTACTACTACTACTACTACTACTACTACTATTACGACCACTACTACTACGACTACTACGACTACTACGACTACTACGACTACGATTGCGACTCCTACTGCGACCACCACTACTACTACTACTACTACTACTACTACTACTACGATTACTACTAGTACTTCTACCACTACCACTTACTACTACTACTACTACTACTACCTACTACTACTACTACTACTACTACTACTACTACTACTACTACTACTACTACTACTACTACTACACTACTACTACTACTACTACTACTACTACTACTACTACTACGACTACTACTACTACTACTACTACTACTACTACTACTACTACTACTACTACGACTACTACGACTACTACTACTAGTACCAGGAAGATCCATTTGCATATTTTAGAATCGATGTTTACGCTTCGGTGCCCTCTTGCTCATCTTAACGTAGTGCTCGTGTGCAAACCAAAACTGAGACCAATTCCAACTCGAGCATGCATGTTGGCTTCCAGATCCTGTGCGTTGACATAAGGAATGTCACTTGGTCTTCGCACTCGTCTTGGGCTTCTCTACAATTAAAATCCTATTGTAGGCATATCCCAAGATGGTTGGGATTGGGCCCAGTTTGCTTTTCGCACTGGTTGGGATTGGTCTCAGTTGGTTGGGATTGGGCCCAGTGGGTTGGGATTGGGCCCACATGCGGAGCGCCCCCCCCCCCCCCCCCCCACAAGCGGGGCGGGAAGCGCCTCGCCGCGGGCCCCCCCTGAAGGAATACATCGGGTCGCCCAAGTGCGATACAGTCTTATGGGGCCACATGCGAACCCTACCCTACCCCCCACGATTTCTGAGGGGAGGGTGGGGCTCGCTTCGCTGAGAAGCTCCCGAACGGAGTGAACCCCACCCTCCCACTCAGAAATCGTGGGGGATAGGGGTAGGGTTCGCATGTGGCCCCCCTGATACAGCAAAACTGCTCGGCTCAGGTGCGACAGCAGAAAAATTGGGACGCCCGAGCTGGTTTCGGGCAAGAATGGGCGCACTGCCCAACAACCAGCGTTGTCCAAAACTGACAGCGGCCGCTGTTGGGCAGGCGGCTTTCCGTCTTCAAAGAATTACGTCCGCGGCGGCGCGAACAGCGAGTCCTGTTCAAAATGAGCAGGAAGTGCTTCTGGGCATCGTATCCGTTCTTTACAGACCCATGCCGATCGTCCCGAAGAAAACCTGGGGTACAGAGCCCAGCTCCTGGGGGCTAGGGGCCGACCGGCTGTGTTCGACCAGGCTGAGCGCAACGACGAGCAGGTTGCTGGGCTACTTTCAAACAAACGTCTCTGAATCAGAGAGACGGCTCAAAAAAACTAAGCCCAAAAACGGAAAGAAGTCTGCCGCGGGATGGGAATCGCAACCGGCATCGCAACCTGCGCAGGGAGCGAAAAACCGCACCAAAACCAGCAACAGCAAAAACGGCAGAACGGAGCCTGCAACGAAAACGGCCCTGTTTTTTCCAATGCCCGCTACTCCAAATCCCTTGTGAACCGTCCCCCGGGTCCGGTTTTTTAAGGCGCCTTTTTTGTAACTGGGGGGGTCCGCTTTATCAGGGTGCCTTCTCTGGACTGGAGCTTAGGGGGTCCGGTTTATCACGGCGCCCCGTCGAAGAGGGGGGTCCGGAATATTAGGTCGCATGTGGAGGGGGCCGGGATTTTTTGGGGGGTCGATTAATAAGGGATTTGGAGTAGGCCCCCGCGACAGAACCAGCAACAGAAACGGCAGAACGGAGCCTGCAACGAAACCGGACCTGTTCTTTCCACTGCCCGTTAGGCTTATGTCGGGCATGTCCGCCTAGAGGGGGATTTTGGGCGAAAAATAAAACATATTCAAAACATGCCCCCCACATGGGCAAAAATAATCCAAAAATCCTCACCAAACTATTTTGTTGACTGTTTTTTAAATGTTCTTCCTGTAGAGGGACAGGCCCGACTTAACGCTAGGCCCCTGCGACCTGTTCAGCTTCTCCTTCAGCTCGTCGGCCGCCGCGCTGGCCGCCTTCAGCGCCCCCGCCTGCGCTCGCAGCTCCTGCGGCGGGCGGGGGCGGCGTGCCACGACCCGGGGGATCGGCGATTTATCCAGGGCAACGCCGGGGGGCCTGGCCCCTCAGTTGATGGGCGTGTTTTCCACCACCACCACCACCAAAAGTTGGAGGGGGGGGTCCTCCTCCTCCTCCTCCTCCTCCTCCTCCTCCTCCTCCTCCTCCTCTTCCTCCTCCTCCTCCGCCTCTTCCTCCTCCTCTTCGTCCTCCTCCTCCTCCTCCTCGCCCTCCTTCTCCTTCCCCCCTTTAACTTCTGGTAGTGGTGGTGGTGGGAAAGAGGCTCATCATCAGTGGGTCCATGGAGCGGCAAGGCCGATTTCCTGCGCTCGGCTCAGGAGCTAAATCTGAGCATGGAACCGCTGGAAAACAACGCTTCCTGGCAACAGGAAGGAGCAGCGGCCGCGGCACGGCGCCGGGGCCTATGGGAAGAACGGTGCAGGCAGCGGCAGCGGCAGCTGCAGAGCGGAAGCGGCAGCAGAAACCCTCTCGTGCCCAGGGCCCCCGGCGGTGCCATCCGTGGCGCCCTGGAGCAGGGCCCAGATAATAATAATGATAATCGTAAAAACAATAATAATAATGATAATAATAATAATAAGTATTATTATTGTTGATAATAATAATAATAGTAATAATAACAATAATAATAATAATAATAGTAATAACAATAATAATAATTATACTAATAATAATAATACCTATGATAATACTAATAATGATGATAATAATTATAACTGCTCTCGCCTTTCGCCGCCCCTCCGCCGCCTCTCCCGCGTGGGCACTGCAGGCGTGCCGCCGCGCCCGCGGCGCAGCTCTCCTCTCGGAGAGTGGGTCGCCAAGGATAGTGAATGGGCCAGGGTGGCACAAGCAAATCAGCAGGAGCTGCGGGATTTCCCTGCATGTTTTTACTGTTTCCTGGATCTCCCTGTTCCCCTCCATTTCCCCACACCTTTTCGTTTGTCATGGAAATCCGCGTTTGTATTATGCTTGTGTCGACTTGTCCCTCCTGAAGGACAGCGCAAGCGCCTCTCCTTTCGGAACGATGCTCTGATTCCGTAGAATAGGAAGTCCGGAACCATTGTAGGCCACGACGTCCCTGGGACATCAGTCAACCTTTGACAAGCTTCTGGAGTTCTCGGGATTCACCTCAAACGCGCTGAACGCACCCCAGAACTCTTTAAATCGGCAGCCCGCCCCTGAGAGCGACTTCAAACCAAGAGCGCCACCCTCCCCGCACACTTTTCAGCGGAAGCGGCTTCGCGCGCGGCGACAGGGCGGAAACAGGAAGAGAACTAAGCGCGTGGTCGCGGCCAGGTCCTCGGGAATCGGCTTGGATCTCACAGCACATCTGGCTATACAACACATCCAGGCGTGGATGGCGGTGAAGTGACACGCCAGCCAGGAGGGCCTTGCCCCACTGGCTGAATAAGAAGAAGGAGGTGCGCCATACAGCACATCCGGGCGTGGATGGCAGCGACGTGACACGCAAGCCAGGAGGCCCTGCCCGACTGGCTGCATGAGAAGGAGGTGCGCCACACAGCACATCTGGGCGTGGATGGCAGCGACGTGACAAGCAAGCCAGGAGGCCCTTGCCCGACGCGGCCACATGAGAAGAGGAACACGTGAACACACAGACTGTCAATAAGAGCCTGCACAATATGAATACCACTCTTTTCGCTCCCCCGAAGACGGCGGTGAGGTGTCCTGGCCTGCTCCGCGTATTTTTCTTTCGCACAAGATGCCACCGAATTGATAATCAATATTTGTTGTTCCCATCCGACCGTTTTCAGTCATTGCTTAATGACGCTCCCGCTATAGCGCTGGCTCATTTATCCCGTTCTGAGTCCTTCCAAATCACGCTTCCGCTGTAGCCCTGGCCTCATTTAACTGTTTCGGCTCTTCCAAATCGTGCTCCTGCTGCAGCGTTGGCTTCGTTTCCGCGCTTCCAGTCCTTCCAAATCGTGCTTCCACTGCAACGCTGGTCTCAAATCCGCGGTTTCCGTCCTTCTAAATTGTGCTCCCGCTGCAGCGCTGATCTCATTGTGCGCGTCCCGCTTTGCAAACTGTCCATTTGCATGTCCCGTCGCTTCCCTCTGACCTTGCTGTCGACATGTGTCGCGTTCTTGACGCGAAGCCATGGTGTGCCGCGCTACACCATGCGTCACGTACTCTCTCTCTGGGGTCATTACCCTGCTCGACATCCGACTCTGCGAATGGATCGAATATCTACGCCATGGTAGGCATGGTCGGGCTGGGCGAAAGGGGGGGATAGCAAAGGGGGGGGTCTGAAAACCAGCCCACGTCGCTGATGTTCCCGGCGCCTCCCGGCGCCGGCGGCGGCCATGTATCGAGGACTGGGCCCCTCGGTGGGGCCGAAACCCTATCCCTATCCCCCCCCTTCCCTATCCCCCCCCAT